GAATTCTAAATTTATCGAAAGTTTTTGATTCATTCATATTTTACGTTTTATTTATAATTCTTCATGGTAAATAGACAATTTTTTAAAATATTTGTAAAAGATTTATAGCACACTGCAAATTCTCCTAACCAAAGAGTCGCAAATTGTATTTGAAAAGCATGATTTTTTTTGAAAAAGCGGTTTTCAATGACCGAGTCACAACAAATGTGTACTAATATTAACGATTTATGATAGCATCGCTAATGAATATATTAGGAATATGTATGTATGTATGTACATATATGTGGGTATACATACATCTATATACATATTGTTGAATCCCTTAGTAACATGAGATCCCGTATAATTCGTGAACTCAATCAATCCGGGAGAGAACTTGAGGAAGGAGTGAGAAGAAGGTGGGGATTCTCTGGGGATTCTTTGAGAGAGAGAGATGACCAGAGAACTTTTTTGAGTATTTAGAATTGAGAGATATATCCCCTCTTCCATCTTTATTCTTATTTTATGTTATGGAACTTATGTACCTGCTCAAGCGTCTAAATAATAAAATATAAAATTAGGTTATATGTCATATAGTACAGAGCATGAGTAGACTCATTGTCAACATGATTATTGGGGTAAATTATAATGTTATTAATAAATGATGATATGTATGTTGATGATTGAAGTTATTTTCTCTTTGCCTCGAAGAACTGTCCATCAAGCTTGGTGGTGTAGCTAGATGGTTGTCAATGAGATTGGTGGGGAGGTCCAACCAACTTGTTCGAGTTTGGAATAAAAACCCGGGTAGTGTGAACGAGCTTGGCTGGAATAACTAGCTTAAAGATTATGTTTGGATACACTCGTTCTAAGAAAAGCAAAGGAATGATGACGTGCTTTGAAGATGCTCATAGGATCCCTCTGGGAAGCAAAGAGCTCTGTAGCATGCCACTTCCAATGGTATGACTAATGATTATGGTTGATCTGATCTAGTCAGCGCCGGGCTATTAACTATTAGTGGGCTTGATCCATTAAACACATGAGGCCCATTTAATACTTAGGCTTTTCTATTACTTAAAGAAACTCATGTTCGTATATATATATGCAGATTCTCTTAGCTCTTTGACAGGGTAATACGAGAAGGATGAGAGAATGAGAAAATGAGTAACCCCTGTTCATGATGAGAGATGAGAATATCACATTAGGCATTTTGTCCGATCGGATTTGTCCAAATGTATTCTATTCACAATTGAAATGGTGCTTTCCACCACTACATGATTTTGCCAATTAGTGTTGACCAGTTTTAACATTAATTTAACATGTCAATAATTTGATGAAAAATAGTATTAGCAGCAGATTTATATGGAATATGTGATCTAAGTAAAAACAAGCGTAACAAATACAATTAGAAGAACGGTGACGACACAAAAAAATTGTGTTGATATTAGTAGCATTTGACATTGTCGACGTTAGCCATTTTCAACATGACTCATGTCGAAGTAATTGCTTAAAATATGGTACAAGCCTCCCAATAAAAAATTTAAGTCATTTTGAGCCCAAAAAAAAAGCTTTTTATGAATTATTTATGATTTAAGGTATCTTTCAATTTTAGAATTCTAAAAGTATTAAAAAGATTAATATATTTTAATTTAAATTTTCCTAAATTCTTGTTATTCATGAGTTTAAATTTGGTGATTTTTACCATTTTAATTTAATTAGTTTTAATCTTTAAAGTTTTGGTTGAACTAAACAATCATTTAATTTAATTAGTTTAATCGTCATTATATGTATTTCTTCTTTATTTTTTGTTAAAATATCTCCCAAAATTCATTAAAACCTAATGCTTGAGACAACTATCAAACAAAAAACGGTTTCAAATCTTCCTATGGGTTTTTAGGATTTTAAGTTTATTATTATTATTATATATATAT